TATAACACAGGTAATGGAGAGACACATGGAGAGACCGGCGGTGAGACGGGCAGGCGGCTCAGTGCGCACAAGCAGAGCACTACAGACGCATGCAGGCAGAGTATAACACAGGTAATGGAGAGACAAACACACTGCATGTGTGCATGCAAAGGAACCCCAGGTTTGTAACGATGACAAATTACACTTATTATAGCAAGTAACACACTCCGGAAATACAGGAGGAGACACAGAAAGTGTTTCAGCCATTCACTTGTGTCCTGTGCAGCATAAACAATTTCTTGGAAAGTGTTACTCATACAATCATCTTTCCTAAACAAAGTTTAACATCCTAATTATTATGGGCTAGACATGTGCAATGACAGGAATCACCAGTGTAACCCCAAGACCCAGTTACTGAGCGGGGCTGTCTGATGGGAATCAGAGTCATTTAGAGTTTTATGTGCAAGAGGGAGCAAACATAAGCTCAGAATTTATTTTGAAATATACTGCACATGCACAGTTTTCCTACAGAGACACTGAAACACAATGTGCAAAATGCTGCACGTATCCCAATAATTCTCCACTAAACTGGGGCACAGAAGATGGTCACACGCACCGAAACTGGTTATTACTCAGGCTGGGTATGATACACATTTTAGGGCCATATAGCCTTTTATATCACAGTGCTAGTGAATTCTTGAATCTGATTGGTTGCATGGGGTCCTCATTACATTTCTATAACATAGTTATAGCTTGTCAAACAGTAACCCTCACATACTGTATGTCCCTAGCTCTAGAGTACAACAACCATTAGTATTGAACCAGCCACCTTATAATCAGAGGGGGTTTAAATTCTCTTTATGTGCTATTGTTTTATAGTATCTAGGCTACTTCTCAATTTCGGAATAGCTCTATATCCAAGCAGCTGAATTGATGTCGCCCTACTTCTCCACTAGGTGGCGGTATAAACGCAAAAACTGCGCAGTTGAGTTTTCTACTGAGTTTGGATATGATTAAGGACTGCGCGATGGTCCTTAAGTGCTGTTATGTGCTGATGTAGAGTAATGTATTCCCTTAAGTAAGCATAATGATGCTGATGTGATACAATGTGTTCTGTGTACTTGTTTATAGTGGTTTATTATACACGCAGTACAAGGGTTGAACAGAACGTTTGTGGTATATGATGACAATAATAGACTTTGTAATAGTCAATAACTGGATCTCATTTTTGCATTTACTGTGCATTTGTGGGGGCTACCCAGTGAATGATACTTCACCTCTTAATGGTCCTGCAATATACAGCCCTATTGGGTTTTTCTTTCTGTCTGATCTTTCCAAATGGGTCACTTAAACATCATTAAATGCCATAAGAGCTCAGACTTAGTGGTTAACACTGGCGTTTTCCTTTTATGAATCTCATTCTTGTCCTTATGTCTTATAATTTACAGTTGCGTCTGTTTCCTAGACACAATATTTCCCAGAAGATCTTTCGTTTTCCCCGGTAGCTGAGCTCATTCTAGAACCTTCTGAGAGTATCCGTTCTTTTGTGTAGACATGAAATCTAGCTTGTCCAGTTATTATGTATTCTTGAGCGAAATGTTGATAGTAATGAAGAATGTATGACAATGTTATGGCAAGAAATTACCGTGCACCTTAACCTTTACACAGCGAATGTGTCATTTATTAGTGGGATAAAGGTTAAAACGCAGGGTAATTTCGTGTCAGTACGGAACAAATGCACATAAAATAAGCAAGCGTTTCGCTGTTACCACAATAATCCCATATTGCTTTTATACGTCAAATGTGCACACTTTCATACCAGTTCAATCCCTGATTATAAGTCATAAATACTTTTTCGCTATGTTTTATAACTTACAAAACAGTACAAATAAAGCAGTGGTATCGGTATTGGTGAGTACCAAAAATCCAGTGTTGGTACTCATACTCAGTCTGAAAGAATGCGGTATTGACGCATCTCTAATTCAAATTAACCCGCATCCTTCTAGACGCAGCATGTCAGGTGAATAAATACGTTTCAGAACGTTATTCTTTTGCTCATTATTCCATTGCATTGTCCTTACTCGCGTGATTCCTAAAGGAATTAATCCATAATTCATACACGCCCAACATCCATACCCGTAAACACAATTGCGTGACACACAGGCGGCAACGCTACGTGAGATTTACTGCACGTACTGACCCATCGGACACTCATAGCGGCAAACGTTATGGAAACAAATGATGAATAAGAGAAAACAGTAACAAGCACGGAGTTTGTCATCGACTAATCAAAAGCAAGACAGACGAAAGTCACTTAAAGGCGCCGGTGTCTCTGTCTAACTACAATCCAATAAGAGAGCAGGAAACACGGTAAATGGTTCCGGAAATGTAGTGCCTTAGAGTTTCTCCTCATTTTCAGCCTCCAGCCATTTCTTTTGCCTTCTTTATCTGTCAAGCTGATCTGTTGGCCATGCTGACCTTTAGTTAATTAAACTGAAATGTCATATTTATTTATAACTAAATCTATTATTATTATTATTATTATTAATAATAATAATAATAATTAATTAATTAAGGTATTCAGGAGGGGGGCATTTAGTTTCATGTCTTGCTTCCTGTTCATAGCTTGTGTTTAATTCCCATGTTTTTAAGTTCTGGAAACTGTACCTGACTATGAAGAAGGAACACAGAAGACCAAATAGGTTGATAATATTTAATAATGGAGAGACTCTATGGGCTTTTGCGACCAAATTGGTTGATAATATTTAATAATGGAGAGACTCTACGGGCTTTTACGACCAAATAGGTTGATAATATTTAATAATGGAGAGACTCTATGGGCTTTTACGACCAAATTGGTTGATAATATTTAATAATGGAGAGACTCTACGGGCTTTTACGACCAAATAGGTTGATAATATTTAATAATGGAGAGACTCTACAGGTTTTTACGACCAAATTGGTTGATAATATTTAATATTGGAGAGACTCTATGGGCTTTTATCGGAAGGAAAGCGCTCTCCTCTCCTCTCCTCTCCTCTCCTCTCCTTTCCCTCACAGCATGTAGTTAGAGTATGGAATAGTCTTCCTGCTAGTGTAGCGGAAGCTAAAACCCTGGGTTCCTTTAAATCAGAGCTAGATAAGATTTTAACAACTCTGAGCTATTAGTTAAGTTCTCCCCAAACGAGCTTGATGGGCCGAATGGCCTCCTCTCGTTTGTAAATTTCTTATGTTCTTATGTTCTTCTTATGTAATGGGGCAGATTCCCCCTTTCTTGAGGCTCCCTGCTGAACAGTGGTCGACTTATTGAGGTGGTGGCTGCTGTCACATCCTCCAGTGTCGCGACTCACGCCAACTCAGAAAAACTAAACAACGGCGGGACACTAAACCCCAGTCTGGAAAGCAGCAGCAGTGGTGGACCGCCACTGCCCCCTGATGGTCACCGAAAAAGTGGCCTTGTTGTTACACAAGATGACAAATGACGGACAACTTTTACGCCCCGATTGGCAACCAGGTCACCGGACATTGACATCGTCATACTGCGGCTTGGGTCAGCCACGATGTCACAATGACACAATCTGCGGTGCCCTGGTGGGGACAGGTTAGTGCTTAAAGTGCTCTTGTCCTACTGCATTTTTTAAGCCAGGCCTGCATTATTGACAGGGTTGAAAATCTCACGGCGTGCTCTGACAAGGCATTGACATGGAACCATGACGTGTGTCCCCTCCAGGTCCCTCGGGGCAGCCCACATGGGGGCGAGACCTGCAGTCCGTTCTGTGGCCCAAGGCCCACTTCGCAAAACGGAATTCTTGGAATTTATTCCTTCGAAAGGCATTTCTCGCAACATCTTTTGACAGCATAAAGGGAATAATTTCCGGTTAATTACTTAGGGAGTAGGCAATGTTAATTAATTCTTTTGTCATTTTTTTGAGGGATACATCAGCTTCCAGTCAGCGAGAACATCCAAACCAATGGGACAGCTGGTCTTGGTGGTACTGAACCAGTGACCAAAATGGTCGTACAGTCTTTGCTGTTAAAATATCACCGGCTTCCTCAAAAATATCCCATCTCATAGACCTTAATCGTACACTAGTGCTCAAAATTATGGAAAGACTTTTAATCTTTAGAGATTGCAGAACTTCATTCCAGTTACTCCTTTAATCATCCAGTGTATGATATTTGTAACATTCTTTGATTATTTATAAACATCCGGCAATATTCATGTAGTAATTTTTAAAACATAATGCCAAAAATGCTAGGCGTTTCCACAATTTTGGCCACTAGCGCAATGCAAACTCAAATACGTCCACATATCAGGTCCACAGATCTCTGTTTCGTTACTAGTGCTGTGGTCTGCTTAATGGAGCTGGCTCAAAAACGGAAAAGCCAGTTGGACCTCCGTTCTGTTTGCATGTTTTACCCTTTGAAACTCACTCTCCCAGGATTCTTCAATGCATTTACCATTGTGCAGTCCATCATCTTTTGTGACACTAATTCATACACTTCAAACAAGATAAAATACTGTCAGGATTCTGGAGCTGGCACGTGTCTTTGAGTGGCACATTGAGGCCACGACCTTGAGAGGTCTTCAGTTACCAGCTTGAGGATTAGATATGACCAAGGAGTCCAGTGGCACCTCATGAAATATTAGGTGGAGGCCGATACAATTCCTGGAGTCGGTATTCTCCAGTTGTTACACCCCATGGCCTGCTGGGATTTCACAAGGCAGGGGATTGGATCCATTACCAAAGAAGCGTTAATCATTTAGCAAAGAGATTACAGGAAATGAGCCGCAAAAGTGGCTGGTAACGCAGCGCCGTGAGCTTACGTAAACCCTGTCCGCAATGCTGACTGACACATGAGTCTTCATTTGGTCACAGGTTACCTTAATTTGTTTCTTATAATAATTACGGAGTATCGAGTATTCAAATCATGTATATTAATTGCCAGTACTACCATTATTTCTGTATTTGTTTTCTTTTTGGTCTCAAACGTAACGCTGCTCTTATGTATACTTTTCGTTAATGTTCAAAGTCAGATATCAAATCTGATACTGAAACGACTGAAACCGAGACCTCGACCCCGATTTGAGTGAGTGATCGAGGGAGACCTAAAGACCTCTGGAAGGTGACGGGGCCGTGAGCAGAGAATGCCCCACCCCTGCCGGCTCACGTTTCTTTAGGGTGACAGCGCGGCGTAACAATGAAGAGCAAGGCGACATGTCAGCCTCCAGCTGAAACCCTACCTGCTGAAAACAAAGACCTGATGTGATATCGCAGTCAGGCGGGAGAGCTCTGGCCTCAAGTGCCTAAATGATACGTCTTCACCGGTGTCGGCTTCCCCTTAACAGGAAACCCAGCTCGCCTTCTAAAAACTGCTTGCGCTGTTGAAACAAGCAAGGCCGCCCCCCCAACTTACATCGTTGACTCCTTGCCCGATGACGCTTCCGACGTGTTGACGGAATAAAAAATTTACGCTATGACCAGTTTTCATCGACTGGTTCAGTGGAAAAAACAATCGTTTCCTCTGAGTCACCTTTGCAAATATCACTTTTTAAGCGGAGTGCTTAGTTGTCATTGTTGACGTACCACGGCACACAGTGCACAACAACGCAATGTGTCTTCTGCATTTAACCCATCTGTGATATTGTGACGTAGCAGAGGGCAGCTAATTCAGCACCCGGGGAGCAGAGCTTGGGGGCGCTACTTTGCTCACTGTCAGAGATTCGAACCAGCAATCTTTCAGGTGCAAGTGCCCTCCATTAACCATTATCTGGATCGTGGTGCTTAAGCCACAGAGTAACTGTGGAGTGTTTCAGCCACACTTTCCTGTTTGTATTGGCCGTCTGCAGGAGCGCAGAGCCGATAGCCATGAAGACAGAAAAAATGAGACGGAGATGTGAAGCAGTGTGTTTAGCGTTAGCCTCCAGCTAACCTTCACACTCCTGTTGTACCAGCCACTGGCTGTCAGAGAGCTGTAGTGTTATCACGACACACAGGCAGCCATGCTGGGAAAGCTAAGTTCTCCGGTGCCATTTGGGTTCCTTACCGGGCCATAGACTCCATCCAGAGCAGCCAGCAGGTCTGGGTTCTCCTGTTCTGGCTCCTTCTCCTGCTTTGGGGCAGTAGAGGTGCTGGGGTTCCTGGAGTGCACCGAGGCGTTGTCCATCTCCTCCGGCACGTTCAGCTCGCTGTTCTGCCTCCTCTGCCTCTCCACCTGCTTGCGGACGGAGGCCTGCACCTGTGCGGTGAGGGATGGCGCAGCAAAGGGATGACGGACCGAAACAACTTCACGAGACGTCCGTTTGAATGGTACATTGGCACGAAAAGCAAAATGCAGAGAATGATGGGCCGAAAATGAGACATTGTAAATAAAACAGAGAACTGAGAAGTTTAGTATGATGCCAGTGAGACCTGTATGTTTTTTTAATCTGATGATATTATGTTGAATTTACTAATGACCCTACTTTTCAATGTTTACACGCAAATATGTTGTTTAACTATACCTACAGTATGCACCTGGTTAAACCCGCACCAATCAGCGGCATCTTTCTCACCCTGTGGCTTTTAACTCATTCCTTATGCTGACGTTTACTTTCATTCCCCTATACATAGCTAAGGAAACGCCATCTACTGTGAGAACCACAGATTGCAAGATAAGAAGCTTGTAAAACGACCCAGCGCTTCATTTTCAGGCAAGCTGGAGAAACAGTGCCCTACAGCCACGCAGAAACCCATGGAAGACAACGTTCACGATCGTACTACTGCTATGAAACACAGACAGGCATCTGGAACAGCGTTTCTCCAGTGATCCCCAGTAGGTACCCGTTTTCGCTCCCTCCTACAAGGGAGCAAAAACGTGGACTCTCTGGGGGGGTCCCCAAGGACCGGGTTGGGAAACACTGATCTAGGAAACACGCTATGACAAACTACAAGCGTACCGCAGTAAAAATGAGCTGCAATACCCAGAAGCAATCTGGTGGAAACCTTCCTACAGAGGAGAGAAGAAATAACATGTTTACATTGCAGATGCGCACTTACTTTACATTTAATTGTTCATATGGATCAAAATATAGTAGAATCATAAAACAGAAGCACACATTAAATGCTCGTGCATACTTTACATACAAATCACAGCTCATACATTTTACATTTTGGCTTCTCTTTGGTAAATTTTTAGAACCAAATTTACCTTGGCTGTCAGAGAGTTGGCGCGTCATCATAACACACAGACTGCCAAAGTGGGGAAGCTGAGATCTCAGATGACATTTAGCTCATAAAGCAAAAGTATGCATGCAGGATTTTGTAAATATAACCATAACACTTAATTGCCATAATTAAGACATCAGTTAACAAACCTGCATCATTCGAAAACCTGTATGTTTGCAAATAGCTTAGGAGCATAAATCTATCACTCTGGAATTACATTATGAGTAACACCGCTAACTAGCTATTTAGTTTCCTCTGGCAGTTATGGCTTATTGCCACAACAGATTAAACTAACCATACAAACCACGAAACGAACAAGCTGAAACACAACAAGGCATCCATCTACTTCACAGAAACATTGCAAACAAGTTTTGCAAATAACTGAACAAAACAAATGAAGTCACCAAACAAGACACAACTAATCCGTTATAATCACCGAAACTATGTTTAAAGCCCTAGTTCTGTTCCTAACAAATGACTGCAGGAAGCCAACGAAACCATTATTCCCCAAGCTATCTTGGAAAAAACCCAATATACTGGAGACTTCTGAGACAACCAGCTTAAAGTAAATGAGAGACAAACTGGTAAATTGCACTGCCAGGTGTATTTAAACTTTGAGGTATTACTTTATGTACTGGAACTGTGTAGAAAACAGACAGAGAAACAGAGGCATGCAGTCCCGCGGACGCAGAGCAGCTCACCGGCGGCTGCCTCTTACCTGTTTGGCGGTCTTCTCTTGTATCACACTCCCTCCTAAGCCGCCTCCTGATACACCGGCAGAACCTTCTCGGATGAACATGAACATGGCCACGTCTCTCTTACGCCACCGCTCTCTCTCTCCCGCTCGCTCGCTCTCTCTCCCTGCGCCCGTCCAGGCCAAGGCCTGACTTCACCTGAGGAAGCAAACTTTGGGCAAATTTCTCTGTCTTATCCTTCAACTTTCGATTTTTGTTTTTCTCAGTTTGCCTTCCTTTCTCCTGTTTTGTACTTTTTTGGGTACCTCTCTCCACCACCTTCTCTGGAGCTTCTACACTCTGGCTATTAACTGGATATAAAACCCAATGTTCCCAGTCATTCTGCCCAGTTGTTTTCTTTTTGTGTAAGTTGTATTATTCTTTGTTAAATTGTTGGCCCGTTTGTCTCTAGCTGATGGGCTTCAGCAGCTATGGTGCCTGGTTGCCCCCAACATTAAACTCTGAAAGTCCGACCCTGATCGTATCCATCTCTGTTCTCTCCTTCCTCTCTTCTCCACGACTCTGTCTTCCTCTCTTACTCTCTCTCGCAGTGCATTTATTTTATTGCATGATTAAATGAGTGAGTTGGTGTGTGTGTGTGTGTGTGTATGTGGGGG